TTCTTCATTTCGACTTTCTCTAATCATGATTTCTTCAACAATTTGTGCCAAAATCTAGAAAAAACTATAAAACCAAAAACTTAATATTTTTGTTTATTTACAGATTGGGCTCCTTTCTCCTCTCTGTGCTTTTCTCCTCCCTGCAAGGAACAAGAATTGCAATTTATTTGTAACGAATTTTAGTGAAATCTTCCTTTCTGAATGGGCAAATGGGCAATGGCAGTGCTTCTTATCGCTGAGCGTGTAAGTTGGCGCGTTTTATTTGTGTACTTTCCTGCCAGCAACAGCAGCAACTCCACTAATTCGACATGAAAAACGAGCTCCATTTTTGTCTGATCTTGGGAGTTGAATTTTTCAATTCCACACCATTTTACGCAAAGTAATTCATTCAGTTTTTACTTGAAATTCCTTGGCGTTCGCTTGAATCTTTTATCGCTGGAAAGCAGAGTGCAACGTGGTTGCAATAAACAGTCAAATCTTGATGTTCTTGTTTCGATGTTTAATGTTTTTGGTGTTCGAGAATTTTTGAGTTAAAAACTTTGGAAGTGAATTTAAATTATAAGCACATGTTTGAAAAACAGTTTCTGGATTTACTATTCCAATTTAACTTATAAATTTAAAAATCCGAAATATAGTTACAAATTCTTTGGTTTATTGAAGCAGAAGGGACTATATTCATAAGACCGAAAAACAAATTAATAACATACAAAATTGGTTTGTTAAAGTAAATTTGTAGTTGGTGAAGTCGAGAACAAAGAACATCACTATAAACTGTCAAAATAAAGTTGATCCATATGCATATACTTGCTTGCTTAATCCATATAACTTATATTATTACACTTTAATATTTTTTATGACAATTCTGTAGTAACCACCGGCTATAAACTCCCGAGAATAAGTCTAAAAAACAATTTTACACCTCAACATTAGTTTCCTTCTATAGCTGGAATGATCAGCGCTTCCTTAACATTTCGATATCTGCCTTGTAGAAAAATGTATGCTTGACCTCAAAATTGGTGTGAATTTTAGCGTTAATTTCTTTACTCTGGACAAATATCTTCTCTCTACAACATTTTGAGGTACGCGACAATTAGCACATTTAAGGCAAAAAATGTGAAAAGCAATGAACAAAAAATTGTTAACAATGTTCTACGTAAATTTAAAGAACCAAAGTCAGTAATGCAATTCTGTGGTCATCATGAACAATTGATCTTCTAAAGGTGCATCCACATCCAAGCGAACGCTTGCGAACGAACGAACTTTTGCAGGTTCCATTATCTGCGAATGTTCGTTTGTTCAGAAGCGTTCTCTTTGGTGTGGATGTATCTTAAGGTATCGTAATTGCAAGCAACCCCCAAGTTAATTATCTAATTTATCTATTTATCAACATGGACTCGACTTTCCTTAGAAAAATCCATGTAATGTGGCATAACTAATTATGAAGTCACAATTTTCAAAATTTATATGTTACTTCCATTTGTTTTAATATTCGCATAATATATAGCGTATCTCAATATCAACAGAAAATGTCTATGATATAGAAATTATTATAAGCTCTATAATAATACCATCTTCTGCATATATAACATAGTATTATTATTAGTTAATAGATTTCAATATACTGAAGCTCTTCAGTTAAACACATATCTCCCATTGTCTCCAAAAGGAAGACAATTTTTTTAAAACAAAATTTTTTGCTCTTCATTGAACAGAATGAACAGTATGTGACTGACAGTTGATGTCCACTCAAGAATTTTATCCGTACTCATTAGATTAATAATGAAAAATTTTTTATTCTTAATGTTTGGACCGAGAACTTATCTCACATATAGATATAGATATACATTACATTCTAATGTCCTCTCGAATGGTAAATTTGGGATAAATTTTTTAATCAAGATTGATTTTTGGTGCAATTTTTACTTTCGATTGATAAATCTCGATGTATCCAGATTATCCTGAAACTCACAGTTGTTTTATGACTTGACAAATAAAATGTGTTTTGATTTGTTATATGTATTTATGAAAAATATAAATGTCTACTAACATTAGTACAAAAATATTAGATCACTTTAAAAATGTTCAATTGGGCAACAAAGTTTAACTGCTCAAAATTAAATCTAGATTGAATCCAGATTTAGCAATCAAAAGGTGCATCCCCACCAAAGCGAACCCTTGCGAGCATTCATAGGTAATCATACCTGAAGAAATTCGTTCGTTCGCAAGCGTTAACTTTGGTGTGGATCCACTTAAAAACGCAATAAAAAAACATTGAATTAATACAGATGTACAAATGTATGTTTGATATGTATTTATTAAATTGTGGAAATACTTTAAGGCAAACTATTACTCTTTCTTAAGCTTAAAAAGTTAACATTCTTAAGATAAATGATTTTCTTTTAATATTTCTGAGTTTCTCTTCATAGCCGTTCCAATTATCTACATATTTTCAGGGCAGTCCGCAAATTTCCAAAGGTGAGTATTTATCCAATTGTTTAATACCCGCATAGTCTAAAAAATATTTTATCAATTATTACAGTTTTTATTAATATAAACAATGCTAACCGTAACAATTTTAACAATTTCGGTTCTACAAAGTGGACATGGTGGGGGCTTCTTTTCTGTATGCATTTTAAATTGCATATAACAATCCATGCAAAATTGATGATTGCAACTAGAAACTATAGCATTTTGTACATTTCCCAAACATATTGGACAGATAGGTGGATCCATTTTCTTTAAAACACAAAGTGATGAAGCGTTCCTTATTTGTGAAATATTTGTTGTTCCGTACAATCGCGACGCGACGCGATTATTAACCTCTTCCCTATAATTGGACTTACTACCTAATAAATTTCCAAAAATTTCATTTGAAAAGTTTTAAGTGAAATGAAATGAAAAAGAAATAAATGCTTAAGAAAAAGTGAAGACATGTGAGTAATTTTATTAAGAATAGTTCACATTTTAAAATTTCTAGCTACACACAAAAAGTTTACAATGCGATAATGCCTCTTTGACAAATGCCAAATATACTCTGATGTTGTTAAAAGTTTGTATTACTTTGTACTACCAAATTTCACATTTTATAATAAAATTACTTTTAATTCAGTTCAGCTCTTAAATACTTAAATTATTTTATAAAAACTTTTAATTATCCAAACATACGATATATTTAGATCATCAAATGATATTTTTATATAACTTTACACTCATTTGATGTGTCTTCTTTATGGAATATAAAATTTTAAATCTCACATCGGCACAGCACATTTTATTTAATATCAATTACTAGATCTGTTCCAACAGCTACTCGCAGTAAAACTCAAGTAAAATACAAGTAAAGTACAAACTGATAGCGTAACACAAATAAAGTGTCAAATTACACTTTAACACAGATTTTCATGGATAAGCTTTATGTAAAGTCTTGTGAGAACACCAGTGCCGTACAAATAAATAATACAAAAATTTAAAATCAAACCAAAACAGCTGATTCACACATCAACACAAATTTTACTTGAAATAAAAACTACTAGTAAAGTCTTTTTAGCATTTTCAAACTTCGACAGGGATGTTACGCTATTTCAGATGCTCTCAGTTACTCGAAAATCAATTACTCAAAGTTACTGCGAATAACTCGTGAAACAGATCTATGAGTACTATGAGTAGATATTTAACTTACCTCATAGCATATTTGAACTGGAATACCTTCACCGTCCTGAACCAAAAGGGCGTAATTCTCGTTAAAGATCGTTAAAAGACTTGCCTAAGATCGAACGTAAGATCTTAGGTTAGCTATTCTGGTAGCAAGCTGTTTTAATCTATTTTTTTCGTGGTGAAATCAAAAACAGCTGCTAATCGCTACTGTATGGCAAAACCAAGTTGCTGGCTTATACTGGCCGAAATGTGCGTAAAACAACAACGTTATTTTCTCTAACCAGGCCAGTAGAAAAAAGTGTTTCCAACTCAATAAGCGAACTATTGTAAATCTTTATAGAAAACTCTAACAAATATTGCAATCATATGCCAGAGATCATATGTAAACAAAATTTTAAATTCAAAATTTTCATTGAAAATTGACAAAAAAACAAAAAATTTAAGTATAAAAAAAAATTTAAAAAAGAAAATGGAGAAATCATAAATGCAAAGCATATTAAATTTTTTAGCATGTTAGTTATTAACAAGTAACATTTAGTATTTTTTTTTTTTAATTCGATTCCTGGTACTTGCAGTCAAGAATTATTTCCAATACCACTGATGATGGGTATTTGGCAATACTCGAAACAGCTGCATGATCAGTCAAAAATTTAATTATATAAAATAATATAAAAAATAAAATTTTTGTTGTTGTAGCTCACTACTGTTCGAAAAATAAAAATGTAGTTTGCTTGACCGATGGTGAACTGAAAGATCGTTACCAGAATTGTCCTATAAATCTTTATGTATAATTTAAATATAATTTAAATATAAATATATTTTAATATGTATATATATTATATCTTTAGGGAAATTCATATATAATTTAATAATTTTTTTATTTTTTTTTTACATTCTTTCACAAATTCCATATATATACATTTAATATGATTAGGAATGATGTTGGCAACACCTAACCAACCGAATTTTTTTATTGTAGCTGTAGGAATTATTTTCATATTAGTAATTGTGGTAGTTTTCAACTCTGCTGCGCAAATAGTTTTGATTTAATTTTATAATTAAAGGTAAGAAAATAATATTAACAAATTACAAATGCACTAGTTTATAGTTAAATATTTTCCGCCTAAAAGCGCTCCATTTTCAAATAAACCATAAATTTGATCACATTTTGTCATCATTTATCTGAAACTCCTCAATTAAATGCAGTTACCGAAAAAACATGTTAAGTAAACGGAGTTTTACGTATTAATATGTATCTGTAAATTAATCTATTTTATTTTAAAACACATTTCAAAATATATTAATACTATAATATTGTTTGATACCTTTCAGTTATTATCAAAACCTAATACCAATTATTAAAGTAACTGATTGAAAAATGGATCACGTTGAGGACTGCGCCATTTGTTTGGACGAATTAATCAATCCCGTCATAACAGATTGTCTGCATACATTTTGTATTAAATGTTGTGAAGGCTTTCTAGAAAGCGTAATGAATAATAGTTCCGAAACAATGGACGTATCCTTTAAATGTCCATTGTGTCGTAATAAAATAAAGGAGTTATACACCGTAAGTACTAATAAGAAAACAAGAAACATTATTATAATGTTTATTTTTAGCTTCCTGAGTCTATGAACAACAAGGAAGTTATTATTCATTTTGATAGAGCAAGTAAGGGGAGTAAGAAATTGTACCCAAATAACGAGAAAAACGTATATGTCAGTTTTAAAAACAAAATGTAAATATTCATTTAAAAAGAATATGTATTAAGAAAGCATTTATTATAAATTATTTTATTATTAATATAAAAGTAAAATGTTAGTTTAATTAATTATTAAAAAATAAATGCAAGTTCCTTGGTTAAAGAAGAAAAGTGTCTAGCCAAATTATTTTTCAATTCCACCATTGTTAAAATATTTTGAACCATTATCTTTTTGTAACCGGCAGAAAAGTTGGGTATGTTCCTTAATTGCAGCAAGAACTCTGGTCCTTCTACAGACACACCATTCTGTTACATTAAGTAATATTATATTGTTCCAACCATCTATCCACAAAGTTGACTTTAAGTAAAGATATTGCAAATTTCTTTTGAACAACTTTTTCGAGAAGGGTATCTGTCCACTACATTGGTGTGCTGCTAAAGTTGCTTCAATATAGAAATCAAATAAATCTAGTTTTGAAACTAGTAGTTATCGACCAATTTTATTGCTGCCGTGCATGGGTAAAATTCTAGAAAAAATCATCACTAAAAGAATTTTGTAGTACTAAAACTAAAAATATCGTGATTAGTCGAAATCAAGTTACCTTCAGAAAAACGCAAAGCACAACTGTTGTTTTTCTATAGCTCCAACATTATGTTTCTTTAGCTCTTCCTAGTAAAAATCATGTAATTATCTTATCTACTGATTTGGAAAAAGCCGTTGATGGCATCTGAATACAAGTTTTGCTCCAGCAATTTGCTCTTCAGAAAATTGATAAAAAAAAGACATGTGAAGACCATTATCATTAAAATTGATGATGGTCAGTCAACGTTTTAACGGAGAGATAAGCCCCAAACTAATTCTATGGTCATATAACCATGATAAACCATGATAAAGTTTATTGGAAAATACCATATTGAGTCCATTCGTCAGTCAGGATGTATGTTTGTATGACCCTTTACTTTGTAGTTACAAGAACCTGTAAATATTTATCGTCAAAATCGAAAGCTTTACATATTATAGTAAGAAAGACAAAATATTTTCCGGGAGTGTTTGAATAACGATGCTTGAGCGATTTCATTTAAGAAAAGTATTAATAAACAAAATAAATTTAAACAATAACTTAAAAAACTGTTTTGGCAAATCTGCTAAAAATGTTTTTATTTTATTACATATAAACAAATCAGCTGATGGAATCAGCAAGTAATTTAATTGTAAAACAGCTGATAGATATAACAAGTACATCAAAGAATACCCTTGCGAGAACAAATCTTATTTGATGGGTGACCTTTATAATTAATGTTCTGAGGCGAAAAAGTGTTGTGCAACGATTAAACTTACACAAATTAAATCCATTCATTGTGTAATACCGTGAATTTCAATTTGAAGTCGCAAATCATGTTTTTAATATTTGATATATTTAATATATTAATAATATAATAATAATACAATAATTTTTAATATATTCAATATATTTTTAATAACTATATATGCATATATATAGTTACTATTCAGAAGCAAAAAACCAAACATAAATAAAGAGTTTATATTATGCGATCCACCGGTAATATAAGGAGGGTAAAACCAGGGTAAACAGATTTTAAGAAAAAAAAATCTATTACCAAAAATAAATATTTGACAGAGACAATTTTGGTCTACTGAAGGTCTCTCAATGGGAACGATCGTGTGCTATAAATAAAATTGAAAACGGCAGTTTAAAAATCTATATCACTCTTAAAAATATTGATACTGAATATAGAGATAGAAATGACGACTGACAGAAGTGAAAGATAAATTCACTTTCAGATTCAATCCTGAAAAATTAAAAGCATTGTACGAGCCTTAACTATTGACTCAGAAAAACAAATAAATTTGATAGAGTCTTAGTTGATAAAAAAGAAGGTCAAATATCGCAACATGACTTTTTACTTGCCATTATATAAAAATTACAAATCATTGTTCTTTAAGCATTTGCTTTGCATTTGTTAAGGCATTATCACATTCTTCACGTACGGCTGAGTCTACGTAATGGTTGACAAACCACGTGCAAAATTCAAGTTTAAAGTCCCGGTAATAGGATTCCCTTTACGCACTATTAGTTCGCTATCAAGCGGGTGTTAGGTAACTATCTCGGGGTGCAACATGAGGGCTATGCGACAACTTGGATTGAAGACGACAAGGACTGCGCTAGTATTTTTCAATTTAAGTGCAATTACACACGTTGCCTTGTGTACTGGGTCCCAGGGACTCGCAGATTCTACCCTCAAAAGCTCAAGCCGAAATCCGAGTAATATGAAAAGTGGTTCAGTCATTATTAGCAGTGTTTTAAATTTCTTCGAAATAAATTTTCAAGATAAATAAATATGAAAAGGTTTCGAAAAATAGTGAACTACAACAACAAAAAATCTACTTACAGTCTCAAAAAAACTATTTACGAATAATTAAATATAAGAACTATTTCTTAGACCACTTATGATGGGTATTTCGCAATACCTGAAACAGCTGTATGTTCAATCGAAAATTCAATTAATTAAAATAATATAAAAAAACTTTTTGTTGTTGCAGTTCACCTCTGTTCGAAATATTTTCCTTTAAGTAAAATAGTCACTACCGATATAATGACGTTAAAGTCAAAATTAAGATAAATAAATAAATAAATAATTGATTTATAAAATTTTTAAAAGTCAATTTGTGTTTAAATGGTATAAATCATTAGGTATATTTACTAATACCACTGCTCAAAACCTTGAAATCCTTTCTCTTTAAATGAAAACTAATAAAAACTGTAGCTGATGAAATGACACCACATCGATTTTGTTACATTCATCACTAAAAGTTCTGACTAAAAATTTTCTGCTCAATTGTATATTATAGAATGATGAATGTTTAAACTTCATCCATCATGCAACTAGATATATTACCTCAATGATGAAGCATAGGAGCAGTGTCAACATAAAGGAAGGTAATAGGCTAGTAAATGAAGATGCGATTTTATTGCGAAGTCCTTTTTGCAAAATCATTGCTCAAATATGAAGGCATTTTCTGGTAACAAAATTACTTGCTAAGCTCCCAAGCAACAGCTCCTTGCCGGGAACACTGCTGCTCATTACACTGTCGATATCGCTGTTGCTAGCGTTGTTGTAGTTGTTGCTGTTGCTGTTGCTGTTGACAACTTGAGTTGCAAATTGTGAACGCAAAGTGCTGGCGGAAACTGTCATGAGTAATGGAGCGGAAGCTTTTCAAAAGCATTCAAAGCAGCACAAATCAAACTAAACTTAAACAAGTTATCCATTTTTTCAAGGATCGCTACATGAAAGCAGGCATAGATAGCATGTGTACTTATGTTCGTTCATATGTAGGTCAGCAATTGAAAGAGTTTTGACTGTAGATATGTGAAAGGGGAAATGCTATTAGGGAGTTAAAATAGATAAAAAGATACACATAAAGAGAAATATAACACTTATAAATTTCTTAATCATAATATACAATATATTAAAATGTTATTTATTCTTCTTCTTGATTTTTCTTCTTGAGTTAGTGCTATTACGCACTTTTACTCCATAATGGCTGGGGGCTTATCTCTACCCCACACTAGGTTTTAACTAGGCTAAGAAATCATATCATTTGTCTTTTAGTTGATGACGGACTTTAAACCAGCATATCCTCCTGAGAGTCCAGAAGTGGACTTAAGGATTGTTAGAGTGGGGTTAAGTAGCGTATCAACTTTAGTGAAAAATTTTAGAGCTCTGTCTCTGATATATTTTTTCACTGACTCAATCCTAAGATCTCTATGTATGTCTGTTGATCTAATATACCATGGAATCTTAAACAGTCTTCTTAATTTATTAAATATATTATATATATATATATTATTCTACAGCTGGTTTATGATTTAGTTCTAATATAAACACAGCAAGTAAAATTGTTAATAAAAATTTTCATAGCAAAAGTAACAAAACTCCAGAAAAATAAGCGAACATAAAAAGGCAAGTACGGCTTTGGATCAGTTGGTTAAGGTGCGCTGATTCTGAGCTTCAGATTTGGTAGACCCGAGTTCGATTCCTGGTACTTGCAGTTTAAAAAATAATTATTTACGAATAATTAAATACAAGAATTATTTTCAAGACCACTGATGATGGGTATTTAGCAATACTCGAAACAGCTGTATAGTTAGCCAAAAATTCATTTAATTAAAATAATATAAAATGAGTTTTTGTTGTTATAGTTTACTACTGTTCTAAAAAAAACCTCTTTATGTGACATATAAGTATTTATTCCATTAACCAAACCATATATAAATCTATACCCAAACTCAAATGTACCTCAATTTTACCTTCATCATCCATCGTTTAGTCTGTGAATAAGAGCATTTCATATTTGAGGACCGCAAGGATATGACTTTAACATTAAATACAACAATTTTGTAAGAAATCTTAAAGTTTGTTTAATAATGAAAACTGGCACGATTACAAACAACAACAGAAAAAAAAATAAGTATGAGGCATGAAATCGTAAATTTACTTAAAGACAAAAGTTAAGGAAGCTTTTGGCGTAAAAGGACATTTGGCAACACAAACATATCCTTTATATTAATGGTGACAACGATGATAATTTTATTGATACCATAAAACACAAAAAACGGTTCCGGCTCCATGTGAGTGAAATGCTCGTTTGGGGTGAGTGTGGCAAAGTAAAGCTAATTGGAAACCATAAAGGATCGAGGCAATATGACAAATTTAATAGCAACTACATTATAAGGAGAGCAAGTTAATAATTTATCCCTTAATATGTGTGCATGTGTGCGCAAAGGGTTAGTTACTTGGGGGGTAACAAAACTATACAAGTTAAGCTGGCAATGGAAGGGTTAAGTTGGTCTAATGAAAATTTATTGGCAATAAATTTAAAGTGACAAGATGTTTTTTTTTGTTGTTATTCATAAAAAATTTTGTATTAAATATGTTGTTTTGAAAACTTTCACATATTTTCCTATTTTTTTTTTATACTATTTTGGCCAGAATTTGGTAGTATTGCTAAATTTAATTAAATAATCTACTGATGAACTAAACAGCTGTCATAAAACTGAATCAAAAATTTCTACGTACTGATATTTGTAAATAATCACATAATTAAAAAATTAGTTGAATTGATCTAAAAAGTAAATTTGAATGAATCATATTATTATAATACAATAATAATTATTTTAATTATTAATTTATTAATAATAATTATTAAAATAATAATATTAATAATATACAATATTAATATTAATTACTAAAATAATAATTTTTTTTAAGAAGGTGGATGCTTTATTTACCATCAAACCGAACATCTTCGGAAAAGCGTACCAAACTCCCTAACATTAATATGTAGTGATGCAATAGACTTAAAGTAATAATTTTAAATTACTTTAATTTATTTTAATTAAAAAATAATTTTATAATTAATTTATAATTAATTTTTTAATTTTTATCTTAAATTCAAATTTACTTTTAAGATCAATTTAATTAATTTTTTAAATGTGTGATTAGTTCGTTATCTTCTCAAAATTATTGAAGATTGGCTTATAGGTATAGTGTACCATATATATAGAAGTTCTACTGTAGCGAAGTTCTACTATCAAAGAGCCAGATATCCACAAAGAAAATTATGAATAATTGCTTTTGTTTTCCATTGTTTACAGCTAAGATACTGTTCAGAATTAAAACAACTGAACCGTTTGAGTATTTGTAAATTACTGATTTTATTTAAAACAACGTTCTGTATTTATACAAAAATATCTTAAGATTAATTTTACATCAAGGTTATTATTTTAATGGACTGTATTACATTTTGTTATTGTTTGTAAAAAAGGTTAAAAAAGGACGGAAGTCCCAACACTAGGGATTTTCCTCCTATTGTTTCTATAAATATATTAATTGTTATAATTAGATACGGATGCTCAAATGTTACAATGCTTGCTATATTAATATAATGTATTTTTACCCTTGTACATTATTCTGGGAATTTAGGTGATGAGGTTTTAAGCGATAATAATAAACTAAAATAATATAAAATAGTTAAATATTTATAAATTTATGTTCATGATTGAACAGATACTAAATCATGTTAGAAA